CGTCTATCTCATTTGGATCAATGATGAACTCCGATTTCTCCAACAACTGAAACTTCAGTCACCTTTTATTGATCTTCAAAACTCTGACAAATGTTTAAGGAATAAGCAGTTTGGTATTTGGATTAAGTAGATTTGATGTTTTCACCGTCAAACTAGGAAGGTTGAAAGCTATGAATGAATTTGATGAAGTAGATATGAAGCAATATGTGTTCTCTCAATGTTCAACCTTAGAAAAAAGTTCAGAGGCGTACTGGTATTTATACTAGGTTTAGAGTTGAATGTGCCGGATAAAAATCCTTAAAAACGTGAATTAAAACTTTCTGGAGACATTATCGCTCAAGCGAGGGTTAGCGACAGGCGAGCGACGGGTTGTCGCTCGCGCGAGAACAAGGTGGCAAGCGAGCGACGATGTTTCTATTTCTGTCGCTTGAGCAAAGACATGGCGATAAGCTAGCGAAATTACGGCACCGTTTTTCTCCTCTTTTTATACTCGAACCTTAAAACCTATCCAAGTCAATTTATACAAATTGCAACTTACTCATTGACTTTTACATCATATTAATTTCAATCTTTTTTGTTCACAGACTTGCCAATTACAATAAAATCTAACAGAGATCATATTAAGAAGAGTAGCACAAATACTTATATGCTGGTCTATGTTTTCATCTTTATTCGATTTGGGATTTCATCGCTTAACACTGGAGAAGAATCTTGATTAAACACCTCATTAATTTTAGAAAGAGCTTTTGCATCATTTCTTGTATTTTTCCTCAATTGTTTCGTCTGTTCCTTAGTCAGCATCTCAGGTTGGGTTCTTCATACCCTTCTTTCATAATTTTCTCACCCTATCATAAGAACGATATACCTTGTCAACCAACAAGTCTATAAACGTGAACTATATATCATGGAATCGGCACAATGTCAAAAAGGCAGGCACAACCTTTTTTCTCTGTTACACGATTTAATCCGACTTCAAGTGACCTCTCCAGACGCTGCAACTATTCAATACATAAACTTGAAACTCCTCCCCTCTCATGTGCCTGTTAATAGTAAATACTCCATGTTGCACCAAAAATATGAAAGAGAAATTAATTAAGAAAATAATATTTCTTAAACATATACCTTAGTTGATGGCTTTTCTCAGAAATTTCTTTGCTTAAGTTAGAGTGGTTGCTGTCCTCGACCAGCTGCACGACATAACCTTATTCTTTCAGTGTTTAAAGGAAAAAACGAGCATCCAAATTATATAAAGGGGTGAAAACACAACTTGAGTTGCTTGGGCTAAACATTCATACAATGTTGTAACATATTATAAGAAGTGCAAAAGAAGAAAATTACCTAAAACTCAAGAAATGGTTGTTCCATCTTTTCAAGGTTCTTCGAATACAGGTTATGCCTTCCAAGTATTTCCTTCGTACTTCATAGCATAAACAAAGAAAAACAAGTTATGAAATTAGTTTAAAGAACATTAAAAAAAGATTCTTTTTTTTTTCTCATACATAACACAAAAATCTATTCAAGCATTCTTTTAGAGTATGAAACGTGAATATAATGACCTATCCTCATTCATGCATACCTTGGGAATTATATTTCGACCCAAATAGTCGGAATTAAAACCACCAACGATAAAAAGCAAAAGTCACTATTTATTGATTAATCTAGATAATTAAGGTTATTAACCCAATTAAATCATAATTAAAGAATCACATAAACATTCAGATTAAAGTAGTAATGCCCTATTTGATTGTAAACTTTTCCATGAAAAATGTCACATTCGAGGAAAATGAATTTCACTTTGTCCGTTTGATTGCAACGTAAAAATGGAAACTGAATTCCAATGTACAACCACTTTAAGATATATTTTCTTTGTTTTCATGAAAAACGAATTCATATGGGTTTGGTGGATTTTTATTTTCCAACTAACATGGAATTGGAATTCATTTCCACGTTGCCTACCAAACGGACCCTACAAGTAAATAACACCATAAATTGATGATGAGGAAAACCCCTTGAAAAACTCTTCACATGTATCAAAAACCTCTAGGCAAACCATGCCTAAATGATCCACTAGAAAAGTTAACTTATAATTGATCCAAACACTATTAAACCTTAATTTACTCTAACCACCCAACTTTGTATTTCACCGAAGAACCCCTTCGTTTGTTCAACCTACACTTTTCAAAACTCTTAACTACTTTTCTCTCCACTTGATCACCACAAACGAACTTGTTCCAGAGTGCTTGGACTCCAAGCGTCTCTTCTTCAATTTCAGAACTCTAAAGGCATATAGGTTAAAGTAGGGTTTTTGGCAATTGATCTTTAGATCTTTCAGTGTTTTGATATGTGGCTAAGACAAGAGAATATTGGAATATGTAATTGATCTTCAAAAGATAATCTCTTGACTAAATATATAGCTCAATCAATAATAAAATAATGTTTGGGATGAATTTATGAATCAATGATCAAGTGGTTGAACCTAGAGATCTTTAGATGTGTTTGAATCTTCAATAATATGATCTCTATTATGAAATAATCATACAACATACTTTGGGATGGACCTATAGTTGTATGTTTATAATAAGTAGTGTTTGGGGTGAAATATAATTGGAAATAACTGTTAAAATCGAATCTGAACTGTTCCCGAGTTAAATAGTCGCTCGAGCATTCGGTTGGCGCCTAGCGAGCAACTGGTCGGCCTAGCGGCCAGCGAGCGTCAGCGTTCTTGCTGTGGGCACTCAAGCACCATCTTGGTGCGCAACGAGTGATCGTCTTTTCCGTTTCTTGATTGTCTTGAATGTCTTCGCCTCCTTTTTAAGACTCTACCAATCGCGACTCTTTTGACTTTAATTACCACTCTAATAACCATGATTTTGGTTACAAATATAGCCTATTCAAATTAGGACACAACAAAATCCTCATTTGACATTCCGTAACAAAATCTTTTATTTCAAAGTCAAAATCAAAACAACCTAACAACAATCTATCCAAAGACTCAATTCCCAAACATCAATTCAAATCTTATCATGCATGTTTTTATGAAACACATGAAAACAACAATATCACGTAAAAAGTAAAAGAAAACTGACAATAAAAAATATAACTAAGTCATATAAAGCAATGCAAGTACAACATGTGTAACACCAAAACATGTAATACTACATGCATCAATAACTTAGAAATAAAATATGGAATATTAGTATCGACATTGACAAAACACTAACACCCAATATCAATATTAAAATTCAAACCAAGAATTAGTCAAAAATATCTTCGACTCCCCCTAAGTCAAATGTCTAAGAAAAAAAATATGAACTTCTCCTCCTAACTCATATGCTACTCAATTATCTTGAAAAATGAACAATGTCCACAAAAATTCCTATCTAATGCAAGATAATAAAGACTATCAAACTAAAGTGACAAAAATAAAAAATAGACATGGGCTAAAACTCCGTTTATATTCACATCTCCTGTAAGGATGACAATGAGACGAGTATGAAACGAGTTGGTCATTCTCACCCCATCCCATCGGGTATTTTTGTTACCTTATCACATCTCCATACCCATTTAAAGCGGGACGGAGCGAAATAGAGGTGGGGCAGGAAGGAGCCCTTGCCCCATTTATCGTCCCATTTATTTTTTCTTTTTATTTTTTATTTATTTATTTTTTGCTTTTATTTTTTTTTTAATGTCTTTACTTAGTAAATATTATTATTTTTTTACTAATTTGTTAGAAACAACTTATATTTTCTCTAAAAATATAATAAATATATTATTTTTATTTGATAAAAAACTTAAATTTAAAATTAACTTTAAACGGGACGGGTAGTGGGGTGGGGACTATGATTCCCGTACTCGCCCCCTTACCCACTTTGGAGCAATGAACATCGCCCCGTCTCCGCCCCATTTACCCGATTAAGCGGGTAATCTCCGCTCCATTCGGGGCGGGGCAACACGAGTTTCAAGTGGAACAAGTTTTTTTTCATCTCTAATCTCCTGTTATGTACGGTGACTCAACGAAAGTGTCATTTGTTGCATAGATCTATATTTTCTATGCAAATTTAAATGTGATTTAAATATTTAAACATTACTATGGGATTGTAGATAAACCAAATAGGAATCAATTCTAGACACGTGTTTATTCGTTAGATATCAATGTCAAGTATACTATTAGTATTTCAACTTGGTTATCGCTTACATAGAAATTAATACAATGCATTGGAGATGCCTGGTTCTAGGATAAATTGTAGTTCGTGATTTAAATTTCAATTCGTGAATTTAAGTCTCTACGTACGTTAAAATTGCACATGAATCTCATTTGAATTGGAGCAAATTTTTAAGTAGTTTGATAATTTTACCCTCTAGTTTTAAATCAATTAAAAGTCACACGAGATCAACAAATTGACGGCTTCAATCAAGTGGTACTTAAATTTATAGATTTAGAGGTTTTTTATATAAATTTTGTGAAAAATATTTTTTTGGAGAATGAGATTAAAAAGTATTGAAAAGTTATTGGATCCACATGCAAGTTTTTTTTATCGAGAGAATGAATTATTTAAAATGAGTTTGAGAAAAAATAAATTTTGAATAATTTAAATAGGTTGGAGATCCGAAACTTCAACTTTGAAAGTTGAGAACTTGTACCATCTACAATTACAAAATTTTAACTTTCCCACTCATGCCACTAATATAGTTTGGGCTTGTTAATTTTAAGTAAGGATGAAGTCGTTCGCGTGTTAACAAAATTTAATGTTAGGATGTAAATAATCCGGTTTGAAGTTTGGGGATCAAATTGTATTACTTGTAAAGGGTTGAGGACTTTTTCTGCTAATCTGCTTATTGTACCTCATGCAGCATCACCTGTACCTTGTAATGACTTTCTCCGGTATATCGTTTCCCCGTGACATCGCCGCTGCTTAAACCCTCCACCTCCCTGCTCCCTCTTATACCCCCAATATTATCAGAATCATAAACCCTAAAAAATCCTCATTTCAATTCCCAAAATGACAATCCATTCAGTAGTAATCCAAAAACTGCTGAGCACAAACGCCCATCTCGGCCGTCGTGTGACGGCCCACCACTTCAAGATCTTCTCTGAGGGGACCCGCAATGGCATGTCCATTATAGACTCCGACAAGACCCTCATTTGCCTCCGAAATGCCTGCAATTTCATCGGCCACTTGGCCCGTGACAATGCGCGGTTCCTCTTCGTCAACACCAACTCTCTCTTCGATGAAATCGTTGCCCAGATGACCCAGACCGTTGGGATCAAGAACGACACCACGTGGCGTCTTGGAGGCTTTTTAACAAACAGTTCGAGCCCAAAAAAGTTTCGTGGCAGAAATAAGAAGTTGAACCTTGGTGCAATTCAGGCGCCGGATTGTATTGTGATTTTTGACACGGAGAGAAAAAGCTCAGTGATTCAGGAGGCGTCTAGGCTGCAGATTCCCATTGTTGGGCTGGTGGATTCGAGTATGCCGTCCGATACTTATGAGAAGATTACATACCCTGTGCCGGCTAATGATTCTGTGCAGTTTGTGTACTTGTTCTGTAATTTGATCACCAAAACTATTTTGTACGAGCAGAAGAGGTCTCAGGCTGCATTGACTGAGAAGGAGGATAAATACAGAACACGGTATGAGAATTATCACCTTAATAGTAGTTTTATTTGCTCTGCTGGATGCTAAATTTTCGAGTTATATACTGTAGAAATTGTTGAGGTTGGTAGGTTAGGCCTACTGATTTCGTACTGCTTCAACATTATTAATTATCAGTTCCTTGGGTTTAGATTATTGTGACTCGTGTGAGTTTGTAAACATGTGTTTTTTTCGGTTTCCTCCATTCATGACTGGACAATAGTAGTTAAGCTTTTATTATAATACTACTGCATTGTTTTTTCTATAAAATTTATTGAGTAATGATGGCTTCAGAATATGAATATTCTTTTGATAGCAATCTGGTAGACTGGTTTGTTTTTTACTATTTCATCAATACTCTGATTTTGCCGATGAGCTCATCACATTGCATTTACATTTACATAACTGAGGATTACAATGATTTCTGTTCTCTTTCATGATTTTTGTGGAGAATGTGGTACTAAGTTGTGTTAGTATGATTGCAGAGATTGTTTGTATTCTTTAGTTACTGTTGATTATAGTTGTCCATTCACCTCACAATATTTCGTAGTTTTTAATTGCAAGTGATTCTTTTTCTATTCATAAAGAGTAAGTTAGTTTGATATTTGATATGAAACCCCTTTTTTTAGTTGATCTTACCACCAGTTTAATTTTTTCATTTACTTGTAATGAATCTTAGTTACATTTTTGTTCTGATGGAAATTGCATGTGGAAGAGATGAAATTCAACAAATTGACAAGACTGCTACAAAGGACAAAATCTCAGTTCTTCCTTACGAGAAATTGCAACCCGCTCCTGAAGGTAATAGTTGGATGAAAGTAATGTTTGTCCTCCCCCAGCCTAAACAAAACATCCTTTGTTTTTTTCTCTTTTTGTTTTCATTGCAGACAAAATTATGTTGTAGCTGGGATTGTTTTGAAACTGCTATGAGTAGTTTGTATTTGCTCATGTAATATCTCATTCTTTTAATATAAGCTTAACAAACTTTCATCTGTTAATGCTGTTAACAAAAGCTTATGTTACTAGATTACTTTTTCTAAATGTTGCAAACCAAATTTGTAAGTATTTCCCTATTTTTAACTAATCTTTGTACTTAAAGAGTACTTCTCAGATGATAGGCTGCACACTTACCTCTTGTGCGGGGCTTCCTCTGTCGTTAGTCCTTCAGTGCTCAATGTTATATTGTTCGTTTAAGCTTTAATGAAGTTTTTTCTGAATCTTACTAGTTAATCTTTAAGAAATTAGTAATATCTTGAATAACTCATTTCTTTTTGTAAACTTTTAGAGGTACAGGTTCTTAATATTCATACATTTTGAGGTCTCATTCCACACAAACTTGACTTAATACTCTTACTAAATAAAAGAACAACCATGATGTATGCTGTTTATATCTTTACCCGTTTTTAGCTTCTTTTTGATATACTTGTCATTATGAGTTCTTCCATTTCTGCAGATATCTTGGAAACTAAGCAGATTTTGGACAAACTTGTTGTATTGAAGTTCAATGGCAGCCTGGGGACAAAGATGGGCTTTCATGGCCCCAAGTAAGTATATTTGCGACTCAAATTTATATTAATATGTACCAGAACGGTTAATAGCTCATAGGCCAAAACTAGTTGAACTGGCATGGTGGTTCAGCCACTTCATTTATTGCTGTAATATTTCTTGAAATTGATATCTTATATGCTTGTAAAGGATTGGCTTCATTTTTTGACAATACTGGACACTTGATACAACTAGGTTTGGACCGTATGATTTGAGAAGAGAGTAAATCTACTGTCTGATACTTGTGCTGTTGGCTTAATTAGGTATACAGTATAATTTTGAAAATGAAGTTTAGTTTTGCCCTTTTTGAAATATAAATTCATCTATACTGAAGCAATGTCCGAATTTCTTCTTTAATCGATTTCCTCTTTTTCTGTGTTCCCAAATAAACTATTTCTCAGAACACTTACTCTGCGCTAATAAGAGGAAGGCTTCAGAATCCCTCTGCTGATAATGCTACCTGGTTGGCACCTAAATCACAATTGGCTTATAATTAATTGACGAAACACTGAAGTAGAAGTGAGTTGCTGTGCCAAGCCTCTTGGTTTTAAGCACATAATGCACACTGCACAGTCAGTTGTATGCTTCATTAAAGCAGAGTGCACATTCATTTTGGAGTTAAAAACCTCTACTCATGCATAATATAGATATGCATAATATAGATTCAACCATGTTTAAAAACTGCAGCAAGTCTTAATGAAGTTCAGTATTCAACCGTCTTTAGAAACTGCCACAAGTCTTAATGAAGTTAGGTAAATATCAATTAATTTCTCCAGTACTACTGCAATATTCAAGCTAAATTAGTCTTAGAACAAGATTTGTGTTTGTATTTCGGATACTAATCTAACTTTATCAGCCAAAAAATGAAAAATTAAATTAACAAACTACAATCAGATAACTGTTTAGATTAAAATGGACTTGCCGAGAAAAATAATAATTTGGACTTTCTGAGGGAAATAAAAAAAGCTTCAGCAAGATAATCTTTATTCATTCTAGTATCTGGGGAAAAAGTTAATTTATTTGTTCACGGCTCCTTTTGGATGTGGAAGGTGAAGTGCTGGACCTTTCATTTTTTTATGCTCGCTATTTTGTATTTCATTCAAAACATTCTTTATATAAATTAAGCTGTCCAGGATAAATTATATTTTATACTGTTAAATGGATCAGGATTTTCTTGCATTTTAGCTGGACATGCAATATTTCAAATGAAGATGAATTGCCCAAATTCTCTGGTTGCAACTTTAGTTATTCAATGAAGACTATCGTTTACATGCAAACACATGCATTACTACTATATATATGAATATATCTACTTTCAGATTTTCTCCTACCCCATTCTTTCATCAAACTATCCCTGACCGAAAGTAATGAATGTTTCTCAGTCCCATCTTTCTGAAACATTCATATCCCTTTCATGTTCTGTCGCATTTTTCTTGCTTCAGGGTATTCAATGGCTAGTGCAATCAGAAGCAATTGAAATTTCTATTAAAAAAAAACGAAAAACAATAAACAAAAAAGGGGAAAAAAAGCAGCAGTTGATCTTCCATGCATCAATATAATTGTTCTGCACATTTGTTTTTTAGAAGCAGGGTTTCCAATTTGTAACACGACTTTAGACACAATATGTGCATATATAGAGACTCATTCGTCCATTACTTTTTTAATTTCGTATGCATTTTGTACATGGTTCGTGGTTATAATAGTGCAATAGAAACTCTTATTTTTGCTATCTTGCATCCTTTAGCATTCAACAGTAAGCTGATTTACACGTATACATACGTTTGTGCAGAAACATCTAGACATCTCTATTCCTCTTATGTACCTTTACCTCATCATGTACGCGCTTTATCCACATGCTTAATAAAATTATCTACATATCTAGCTCCTGACAATAGATTAATATGCAGGAAACCTAACAATAGATTGAAGTGCAGGAAAGAATTGTAAATATTTACATAATGCTTTTGGAAACATATTTTTTATTCATATGCAATCTAATTTACGAGCCCACATATTGGCTTCGTAAATCACTAATATTTGACCACACCAAAATATGTTATTTTCCTCGTATATGTGGTTGAGTGTCTTTATTGTATTATTTAAATATCTAGTGGGTTTTGTATATTTTATCAAAGCATTGAAGCACTGAAAAATGTTATTAGTAGTTTGTACTTGACCATACCAAAATATGTTATTTTCCCCATGTATGTGATTGAGTGTCCTTATTGTATTTTTTACAAATATCGGGGTTTGGACATTTTATCAAAGCATTGAAGCACTGAAAAAAATTATTAGTAGTTTGTACGAATAATTTTCAACCGAGTTCTTTTAGACATGCTTCTTTTTGTATTGAAAGACAGGTATATGAAACTTTAAATGCCAAATGTCTAATTGTGACTTTACATGCTCCATGATTGACCCTTCTCTGTCAGCTGCCTTATTAGCTTCCCATAAAATGTATTATGCAGGTCCGTTGTGGAAGTTTGTGATGGATTGACATGTCTGGATTTGATTCTCAATCAAATTGAGGTGATATTTCTCTCCTTTCTTTGGTCTATATTCTGTGCACTCTAATGTTCAATACTTTTTATTATATACTTAAAAATGGTCTACTGTTTTTAAGTCTCTCAATTCCAAGTTTGGATGTGTCATTCCGCTGCTTTTGGTGAATGCACCCAATACGCATGACGGTGTATTAAAGGTAACTTTATACTCACAATACACATGAATGTATGTATACATATGTATGTATTCGTCGTAGGAACTTAATTTTATTGGTAGCTGATTTTTGCTTCTTGTTATGTGTTAGGTCTTGGAAAGGCACTCTGATAAGAACATTCATTCTCTTGTCCAGGTTCTGTATATTGATGCTCTTGTGTGGATGTGTGTTTGATGCATTCAGAATCTGAAACTGGCTTTTGTTAATGAACTTTATTTATGATTTGATGTTTGGGAAGCTGATAACTTTCTTTTTCCAGAGCCAACACCACCAAGGAAATGTCCATGATCTTCCTCCAGTGTCAGCTGGAAAACTGGATGACCATGATGGAATGTATGTTATTTTCCAACCTATTCAAAAGAAAAACCCTTGTGTTATTGTGAACATATTTGAATTTCTAAGTAACGTGTTATAAGGTCTTGGACCCTGTGAATCTTATTGTGAATTAATTGAAAAATTCTTGATGTCATTCTCTCTTAAAATTCTAGTACTTTTGTGCTGAAATCTTGTGTGTACACACTATTAATTCACCTTTTATGACTTTCCTATAGTGAAATCATCAACTGGGTGTACTTTTGTGCTGAAATCTTGTGTGTACACACTATTAATTCACCTTTTATGACTTTCCTATAGTGAAATCATCAACTGGGTAACTTCAAACATCCCCCATTTTTAATTATTTTACTCATTTTCTTGTGAAGGGATTCTATAAACCTTGCTGAGGTTTTCTCCTCGCTGATGAATGATGGAAAAATAGATGTACTATTGTCTCAGGTAGAAATTTTCTGTCCTGGGTCTTTGAACATTATTTGCTCAAAAGTTTGAAATACCATTTATGCTTACTTGTTTAAGGCATAAACATATAATATGTGATGAGCTTGCTTTTTTCAACAGGGCAAAGAGTATATCCTGGTGTTGAATTCAGATAACGTTGCTCATATTGTTGATCCAAGTATCCTCATTATGGGCTTCTAATTATTCTCATTGCACGATATTCAATTTTCATTGATCATATATGACATGGTTTCCTGGAATCTCTTATATATTAATCAGTCTGGACTACTGATATTTGAGCTTCTTAATGCATATTGTAGAAATCTTAAACCATTTGATTCAAAACAATATCGAGTATTGTGTGGAGGTAAGCACAAACGGCTTCATTTTATTTGGTCTTTAAATTGGTAACTGTTTCTAAGTTGTCATAGTTTTCAGGTGATGCCTAAATCCTCTGAATCAGAAGAAAGTAACCTTTCATCTATTAAAGAAGAGTTTGAGGTTGGTTATGATTTACATTTATTATGCATTCTTAGAAATCTCCTCTCCATGCAAAACTTATTTTTTTAAATTAATCTGAGGCTGCAAGAGGGTTCTTTTTTCAAATTAGTTGAAATTTGTTTAGTTAGTTAAACATAAAAAATATGTTGAAATGGAGACCTAAAGCTTAGACTATTACAGAAGTACTTGTCTAGGAACTTGAACCCACCATTATAAGATCTATGGATAAGCACCAATACCGACTTAAAAAGATTTTCTCTGAATTGATTTTCCCAACATTTGGTTAAAAGGGCAATTGTAGGAATATATCAATTTATTTCTGTTTTATAGTAACAGAAAACTTAGCGAATGGTGCCTAGTAATATTTAATTAATGCATTATAGCTAAAGTCAGGCCATTTAAGCTCAGTATGTTTATGCTTATGAGGTACTTATTAAGGATTCCTTATAAATATTTAACTCCTACTTAAAATCCCCCTCTATAATGTCTATATACCTGGATTTGCATCAGATACTCAAGCATATACTCAGAAAAGGATAAAATTGCTGTCTGGAAATTTTGGATATAGCAGGGATACAATGTGTACTGAATTGATATGTCTGTATAGAACAATTATATTTACTTTTCAAAATAGAATTCATGTTTCTAACAACTATAAGTAATTGGCATTTAAAATGACTTTAAAGTGATAAATTACTTGATTTCTTTATAGATATCAACTATTCAGCTTCAATATTTTTTCTTATCTTGAAAATTTTAATTGACATATTTGTATCATGAAATTATATCTGTATTCATACTTTCCATTGTTTGGCAATATGGTAACTTGAAATTTGTAGTATTTATTTTTACTCTTGGAACTGCAAGCTTTGACATGGAAATTATGTTGCTGATTATATCCATATTTGGGCAAAATGCTTCTGTAAATATTTTTTTGGTATTCCAATACATCAAATTTGCACTATTTAATTGATATTTGTTTTTATTGTGATTTGTGTTATTCTCTTAGAACCTAATGCCAAAGAAGAATTTGAAATTCACTCATACAATGTAAGTTATTGCTCTTGCGAAATTTTGTGCCTTTTGTTCTTTCCTTTTTCCAGGAAAAAGATGCTATTTTGTTCATTCCTCGTCAATCTAAATCTTGTATAGGTGGATGAATATGAACTTTATTGAAACACTTGTGCAAAGACGTGCGGCAAAAGAGTCTTTGACCATTTCAAAGGTAACATAGTTTTATTGCGCAATGAATGTATAGATACATAATTGATCTATTTAGAAGTAGTTGATGACAGTCTTCTTTAGAGTGGCATCTTTGTATCTTGGTTTTTTGTGTTTATTATGTGATTCCATTCTCGAGTGATCACTCTGTTGCATTATTCTTTTTCCTTATTAATGTCTCCACTTGTATGTGTGATTCAGCTCTTTGATCAGTCATTTGCTATAAATGTTCCTAAATCGAGATATCTTCCAGTTGAAGCTACATCCGATCTACTTCTGCTACAGGTTATACTAGTTCCAGCTTTAATATTATCATTTTTGCATATGCTTTTCCTGTCATATTTGTAACCATTGTGTGCTTGTGCAGTCAGATTTATACACCTTTACTGATGGCATTCTGACTCGAAATACAGCCAGAGTAAATCTTGCCGATCCTATAATTGAACTAGGACCAGAATTTGATAATGTAAAAAGCTTTTGGAACTTGTTGCCTTACTTTTCAATATCCCTGCTTCATTTTCCATTAGAGCTTTACAATTTTTCTTTTTTTCCCTTCTCAGATCAATGATTTCCAGACTCGTTTCAAGTCCATTCCTAGTGTTGTTGGACTTGTCAGCTTGAAGGTGACTGGTGATGTGTGGTTTGGAACCGGTATAACTCTCAAGGTAGTAAATTTTCTCCTCCTGTAGAATTTCCATAGTTAATGACACGTGTTAAAATCTTATATTTACTGATAATTCTCTTTCTTGGCCAACTTAGATAAATACTGAATAAATTAGCTAGTTTAAAACTATGACAATCCAGTTCATCTACTTCATGACCGAGCAGTATGGCCATCTTAAGCAAATTACTATGAAGCCATGATTGGCAGCGTTAAGATGCTCATCGTGCTCTTCCACATCCATAAAAATATTGAGATAGCCAGGATCATGGGATGCATTTGTGGATGCACGTATTGTGTACCTTTCCATGATTTCTTTAGCTCTATAGGGGCATTGTGCTTTTTTTTTCTTGGTGCATTTACGCCATGACCCTTGATCATGATTTTGGTATTAGAAATTTTAAAGATAAAGTAGTGTTTTTTAATTTGCATATGAATGGACCATCATTTAAGTTGTGGTATACCGTTTTTCAAAACTGAAAATAGAGAATGAGTGGCAATATTTAAAAAAATAAAAAAACAGAACTCTTTTTCACAAAAAAAAAAAAAAAAAAA